AAAGAATTTTATTTAAATAAAAATTTCTTGTGTTCATATGTGCACAAATTTTTTTGTGCAGATCATAAGATCGACGAATTTCCAACACTGCTGTACATCTAAAACAAAAGATTCAAACAATTTATTATCCAACTCGTACCCAAAATTATAGAATTCTACAGATATAACAAATTACCAAAAGCTGCTATATTTAATCTAAGAAAGTTTCAGTTTTTCCTTTCGAGTATGATCTGGCAGTGTTCTAAAGAAGCATTAAAAGTAAGTGAATGAGTAAATATTCTTAGATGGATTATGGTAAAGTTAATTCAAGGTGCTTGAAATATTGTTTTCTTAGGAGAGATCATATAAAATTTAAGTGCTACAAAAATTTATAACCTTTTTGGTAATTTTCAATGTCAAAATTACATATTATAAAACAGACAGTTCGGCAATTCTTTATGAAGATGAAGCTCATTCGGTCACATCTGAAATACCTTGTTGTGTTATAGGGAGTTTATACGTTTTTCAATTGGTATTAAAGAACCAATATATTTGTATAAAATTTTATATAATATATATATGTTTATTTGATAACTTATTGATGTTTAAAAAAAAAATATATCTAAAGGTCATGAACTCTTTTTAGGTTAGGACACAGTACGAATGCATCAGAGATTAATTGAAAAAACTACTTTAAGAAGGTTAATTTCAACAGTCTTTCCAAATTGAAAATCTTAAAAAGAAACCAAAGTATGATTTCAATTGGATAAAAGATATACAACCGATCAACCTACAAATTTTACCGATAAACACATTGATGTTGTGGACTTCACCTATAATTTCCCATGTTTTGTTTGACTATTATCTGATCATTCAAATGGTAAATTCGAAAGGGTCAAATCAGCTTTTAAAAATGATTCCGTCATAGATGCGGAAAAGATTGATATATATAGAAAGAATTTCAGCAATTTTCTCCTGTTTATCACCCTGTCTATGTATTACAGAGACACTTTCTACAGATAGAAGCTATCAAGTTGTTGAGGCCTACAATCGCCAACTCATTGATCCGTCAGTAGATCCTGCTGACTCTATAAAGTACTCTATCAATTTTTGTAATCCTGACAGATTTTTATTTGATCAACATGTACTTGACATGTTTGCAAAAGATGGATGATAATTTCAACAATATTGTAACGACCATTATTTTTTGCCGGTCAATTGGGATTTGGATATTATTCAACCTTTTGGAGAAAGGCTTGCAGTAAATTGTAATTTTTTAGACAATGTTGAACACTATTATCAAATTTGAAAACTCATTTTTATGGTGCTTCAAATGTGCCGAGTCGTTATAGGAGTTTTGAAGATTGGGTCAGGTATATTGATAGTACTGATGAATGGAAAAAGTTATAAAAAATTAGAGATTCCTCCACATACAGCCAATTTTTCTGTTTTGAAAAACCAATTTAATTCAATGAAATCTAATTTTCTCAAATCAACAAATGCAGAAAATCACAAAAGAAAATTTAATCATAAATTTTCAATAAAAAATAAAATTTTCCTGAGATAACGTATCCTGGAGTGAACCTTGGTTGAGTGGATCTTGGCGGAGTGAATCATGTGGTGGACTTCGGAATGAATTAGAGATGCAGAGAAATCGTATACTAATACTAAAGCTTAATGCCTCGTCTTCATCTTCTCCATCTTCAAAATATCACCATCATCAGCAAAATCACCATTGCAACAACCAAAAGCTACTTCACGATCACAATCACCTTCATCGTCATCATCTGCCTCTTCACCATCACACCGTATCATCATTACCGTAAATTAAAGGGATTAGAAATATTGGATATTTTACAACAGAGAACTAAAAAAGCAAACAATTCGACTTCGCCATCGCCATCGCCATCGCTATCATCATCACACTTGAAAGGAAGAAATGCAGAAATCAATGAGATCAGGCCCAATAATATTTGATCCTAAAGGATGTTACAAAATAATTAAAGTAGATTTGTCGTTATATAAGTTTGACTGATGAACAACTGATTGAATTAAATATAGAAAAAAAATTAGTGAAACCCTAAAAATACTTAAAAGATTCAAACCTTACTACAGAAGAGAGGAAAAGAGAAATTGGACAGCTTAGAAAGATTTAGAAAGCTAGGAATGAATTAGAAACACGTAGGTTTAAAAAATTTTTAATGATATGTTTTATATATATATGCGCATGTCTCTATATAAAAAAAAACAAACAAATTATTGTATTTTTATTATATCTTCTTATTTACATCAATTATAGTCAAGCCTCGTCTCAATCATCTAAAATCCGTTATACCAAAATACCATAATAATAAATAATAATAACGTTACAATGATTGTTCAAATTTATCCTAAAAAATTTTGAATAATTAAATCAATTAAATCATGCGACAAGTTACACTAAAAAGAAAATTTTTTGATAATATCTTCTAATACATCTGATACAGTTGGGGTTATATAAAGTTTAAAAAAAAATTTTTTTATAAATAATCGTATAACGACATGAATGAGGGGTTTTACAAAGGTTGTGCGCCCCAAAATTTGACATATTCGAGTGCACCTTAACACAAAACTAGTCTAAATTTAGAAATTACCTGCAGTTAATTTCTAGATTCGGTTAGCGCAAGCCTATTTCCGCCGATTGAATTTCGAACATTGGTTCAAACTTTTGTGTTCATGAATATATACTCTATTGAATGTGTCCAAAAAAAGAATCTCAAACCGAAAAAAAAATGTCGTCATAGGGACTACTCGCTAATACTAATACTAATCCATTTTTCGTAAATCATTACCTAAGCAGAAAGATCCACCAATCAACTTTCGAGATTTGGCGGTCACATTACAATAGAAATTAATTATGTTTATTTTGAAGAAAATTTTCAATCTGAACAAAGGATTCTAATTAATATACTCAGGGGTCCTATTTATATGTGCGTAACACACCAAAAATATGCAACGAATCAATTTTCTTATGTTTGGGATTTTTGAGATCAAACTTGCTTACTAATACTAATAATTTATAAATTTCGTCTGACGATCAGAAGCTCTCTTAAGTTTCCGAGGGTGGTTTAATTGAAAAATGAAAAATGAAAAATGAAAAATAAAAATAAAATAAAGTTTTTTTCCACAATCCTCGTCAAACATTATTTACATTGTTTTCATGAATTTATTGGTGGTAAACAAGTTATTTGCAAACATGGTAAAACTATTTCACATGGGAACAATTATCAAGTTGCAAACTTTTAAAGACTTGCATTAAGCATATTTGGTAAAGAAACTAACTTGTAAATTAAATCAATGAAAAAATAAAAACTTGAATGGTCTGCGATACTTTCAACATTTGATTCATTTTTTCGGCTTGTTATCAGAAAGTTTCAGAGAATATGGAAATTTTAAAAAAGTGCTTTTATCCAACGGACTCGGTGATTTTGATTACGAATTATTTTTAATTTTTAAATTGAATAATGTTTACAATTTATTTGATAAATTGTTTTGCGTAGAACAGATCCTTATCATGATCATTAATCCTGATTCGACAGTTCAGACTTTTGTAACAATTACAAATATTTGATAATCATTTTCAAATATTTGATAATCATTTTAAAATATGAGTGGTTTAACTGATTTAACATTAGAATATGAGCCAACTCGTGTTTATGAAGAGTATGCATGATATCTTTCCATCTATTTTGCCATTACTACCAAATAATTTGTCAGCCGCCAGCCAAAAAACAGTAGGTCACATGAAGACTTTATTTAGAAGTGTGAGAACATGCCAAGTCCAGGTAAAGGTATCTTCTCAAAACCCAAATGGGATATGGGGATTTTCTTTTATAGTAAATACAATTTAGTAGGTATGATGTAATTTGTTAAATATTTACAAAATTCACCAAAGTTTCGAATATTCGAATAGTAGGCCAAAGTTGCTACACAGGTTCGTGCTATAGCATTGAAGGTTAGTATTTTATATTTTTATGGTCCTCTTGGCAAAATTGCACCAGTGAATTCTCAATGGTAGTTTATCATACTGTGAATAAATTGGTTTTTATTCTTAAACGATGAATCTGGCTTAGCAGCAATGGAAATAACTCGCGTGTTATGAAAGTCAATTACAATCAGCTGGATTCAAGGCCTCGACCTGTTCCCGTTGCATTTCAATCGTTTCAACAACTTTTTACAAATAATAAATGTAAATAATAATACAATAACCAGGATCAACTTTTTGATAGACTTATCAGCAAACGATTGAAAATCAAATTCGATGTGAAAGTTGAATAATAAATATTCCAGGTAAATAAATCCGGGGTGAAATTGCTTTCAATTAATACATATAATTTTGTATGCCACAGGCCGTATTGATTTTATCATTAATAAATTGTATCAAATTGATTCGTACAATTATAAAAAAACAAGACTCGAAGTTATATGCATGACAACCGGTCAAAGTTATTTCCGTGATCTTACCTTTTTAAAAAATTTGTCATAACCCGTTCCTGTTTCTTGTTTGAGTAATTTTTAAATTTGTATTAATGGTTTTAAGTATTGTATTAATCTTGGGAGATGAATCTACAGATTTATTCTAATTAAGAAATGATATTCGGTCGACGGAACGCACTAATGAGGTGAGTACACAAGGGGTGTTTTGGACATATATGGAAAAAAATTAAAAAAATTCCCTACATAAGGTTACAGCTTTGTAGATCAATTACTAATCAGAGTTATTTTTCCCAAGATCAGGTTTGTATAGTTCGTATAGTAACTTCTTGTTTTGAACTGGGACGACCAATTATTGAAAAGGTTGTCACGCTTCGTTTTTTTCATTATATTAATCTCTAGATTTATGTAGAGATCGATTTAAAAGTTTTTTTAATTCAAACTCGATAAATTGGCCTCCCAGTCAATAAATAAGTATGTAGTTTTTTTCTTTTTTATGGTAAAACTACAAAAATAATGGATTCTCTCTT